CCAATCTTCTTGAATCAATGAGATCTCTACTTATGGGTGGTGCGGTCTATGGCGCTGTATGATGCACCGGTTGGGTACTACGCCCTGATCCGCGAAAACGCCGTCAGGGCGATCAGATACTTCACCGTTTCTTTCGAGATGGCGTGAGTGCTTGTTGGGGTCCCACTCCGATACAGCCGTGTCCCATGAGTATCTAAATCGCCCGGAAGGTAGTGAGTTCTAGGTTGCGATTCACCTAGTCTGAGAGGACCGGGCGAATCGCCTTGAAGCCTCTGTCGGCCGGATGTCTGGTTGCAGTATTGCCCATGGTCGGGGTCCCCCCTTACCCCATCCTAGTTCTAACCTCGCAGGGTATCGGACGGTTATACGACCTTAAATTCCATTTCATAGGTTCGCGGTCCGCTCCCAACCACCCATTCCCAAATACCTCGCGCACCCCCTAGGAACGAGAATCTCCTAACAGGTTTGAGCTCCAACCCCAAGACCTTCTTGAAATACTTATACATTCAGATGACAAATTAATGAAAATGCTTACTTATTTACGACAGAAAAAGGTAAAAGTGGGTTCCATATTTATACACATAGCGTGCCCTTTTTTAAGTCAGGATGATAATAATATTGCTGGACTTTGGGGATGGTCGCTGGAGTAGTCGAACCGATTAAAAGCCCCCTGGCGCTTACAAATTTTGGGGATTAAAATTCAATATATGAAGTCAATCGAGTAAAGTAACGAAATTTCTTTATATTTGGAAAGTATTTCCATCTTAAGTTGGATCGAAGAAAATATTCGCATAGTTAGTATTTGATAGCAAACGGTAATAAATATAAGAAATTTTATTGTTAAATTAGTAAATATTCAAAATCGGGGATCGGGTTATAGTGTATTTAAGTTTTTTTATTTTTTTTTATTGCCTAGATGTGTAGACGAGCTCACAGCCCACCTGGTGTTAAGTGGTTACTACTAGAGCCCATAGACATTTACGACCTAAATGCGCCACCCACCTTGAGATATAAGTTCTAAAGTCACAAGTATAGTTACAACGGCTGCCCCATCCTTCAAACCGAAACGCATTACTGCTTCACGGCAGAAATAGGCGGGGCGGTGGCACCTACCCGTGCGGACTCACAAGAGGTCCTACCACCAGGAATTACGCAAATTATAATTTTGCGGGTTTGATTTTTATTACACGATGTTATTCCTTCACCGTGGAAGTCACTCGTGAACAATTGTTAAGTACGTATTTCATTAGAAAAATTGGTACCCGCCTGCGGGATTCGAACACCTTTGCATCGCTATATATGAATGCACCGGACGTCTTATCCTTTAGGCCACGACGATTTCGACCACGAGGTTTGATGCACTACTGTGACACTATAATTGCCACGACTTCACCTTGATCATGTATTACCATAACGCCATAAGCGTCATGTAGACAGTCGTGATTTACTTACACATCTGATTCTTTTATCTAACAGACCAAATTGATAATTTACAGAACCAAAAATGGGACAAACTCTAGGAAATCCAGTGAATAATCCAAACAGCAAACACCTAGATGGTAAACGATTTCGAAGTGAAAGTAATTTGAGAACAAAACTTCGGCGGCTAAGTCGGAAAGCCATCGCGTTTACATAATAAGATCTCAGTTTTAATTGACTTTACGTTTCCACGGACATTCTGAAACGGTCGGAATTAACTTGGAGAGGTTTTGAAGTGGATCTAATTACTTTAGGAATTTGTATGATTTTCTATAGATGTTTTGTGTTTTTTGAGGTAAATAATTTCGTGAATACTTCAATGTTGTGTCACTGGCAGATAGAGCTTGGTTGCTAAAGATATTTTTTTTATTCTTGTAGATTTCTAGCCAAGGTCAAGATCCTCATGGTGTTAAGTTAACTTCCAAACTTAATTAGACTGTGACTAAGCCTTTACGCACATTAAAATTAAATATGGGAGGTTGGTATCAATTACTGATAAAAAAGGAAAAACTAGGCTCAGCTTACAATTGTGCTAGTACAATCTTTAATTCAACATTCACGGGCATCAAAATAAGAGATTCTGCTATAGTATGGGCGTTAGAAAGATACGAGATAAGTACATAACGTTCTTGACCCTCGAGTACTTAGCACCAAAATCCTAAACACAATCTCAAATATGACAAGACTTATAAAAGCAGAGAGTGGCTTGACTCTGCTCCTGGCCTTGCTGACGTCTATGAGTGATGATAACCATTCACCATCAGGCGAGCTCTGGTGAACAAGTAAAGAAAAACAATAGATTTCGATTCTAGGAAATCTAAAAATTATGAAAATAAAAACGAATGCCATATTTCATGATAGAAATATATTTTAAACTAGCTAACCCGGCAGACTTCGTAGTGCCTCAATCGATAAATAAAAGACCTAAATTTTTGTATAAAATAAACTTAAAACAAACAAAAGTAATCCGTCCGACGGGAGACACATCAAAGGAAGAAGAAAATTGTTATTTTTATTGAATTCCGAGCATTTTCATATTTATGTACCTTTTAAACCTTCTCTGGACTTCCACGAATAAATCAAGACTAAAATTAGCCAAATCGGTCCAGCCATTTTCGAGTTTTAGCGAGACTAACGAACAGCAATTCATTTTTATATATATAGAAGATATCGGAATGAACATTCCCGTCAACACGTTTTTATAAATGCTTATTAATGTCGGGTATTTAAATGAATTTATGTTCCCTCCTTATGGTTCGATTTTATAACTACATCAGGTTTTTCGTTTAAAACGTATCGGCAATCCAAAAGGTCTTAAGTCGAAATTATTCCGCAATCAATAATGATGTGTATTCTATTAAACTTGATTAATTTCTTTCATTGTTCAGAAGTTTCACTACTGACGTTTTCGCATTTACGATTTCATTTATCGCTTAACAATACGGTTTCTTTTAATTCGCGATAAAGTTCCGAAGTGACTAAAAAGCGGTTAGCTCGACCTCGAGATATTCAGTTAATTATAAAAAATATCAATAAAATAACATAATTACGTTATCAGAGACACATACCGTATCAATTTTATTGTCTTCAAAGGCATATGAGCGCACGGCTAGTACATTCACTCACGAATATTACGTGGCGGTAATTATTCCCGTCGAAATGGTAGTGGAACCGCATTGTGCAGTAGCTTAGTTCAGCAGTTGATAATCGACTCGAAATTCAATTGCGTGATTGTGATAAGGGGATCTTTTTATTATTTTTTTATTGCGTAGATTGGTGGACGAGCTCACAGCCCACCTGGTGTTAAGTGGTTACTGGAGCCCATGGAAATCTACAACGTAAATGCGCCACCCACCTTGAGATATAAGTTCTAAGATCTCAGTATAGTTACAACGGCTGCCCCACCCTTCAAACCGAAACGCATTACTGCTTCACGGCTGAAATAGGCAGGGTGGTGGTACCTATCCGCGCGGACTCACAAGAGGTCCTACCACCAGGATTACTCGCATGATGGCACAAAGAGAACTCGTAGTCCCATGGGTTCAAGATCTGGTACTAAGTGGTCTGGTCCGGTGCGTAGTGGTCATCGGGGCCCACAGATATCACAACAGAAATTCCGCCGATCCAAGTCTCAATTGCATAATATAACGACTGTCTCAATACGCAAATCGGACCTGACTTCGCGACAAAAATAGGCAGGAATGCGGTATCAATCCGTGCGGTTTTGCAATACCACCTACCGCGACTTCTTTTACTACTCCATTTCTATTAGCTTGGTAATTCAAAACGATAAAGTCTAATAATGGCGTTGTATTTTAATATGTTTTTATTTTATCATCGTGACAATTGTCTATGAAGACATGTTTGGTAAGTTTTACTTAGGAAAATCACTATTTCTTATACAGGACGTGAGCTTTGGCAGACACGTTTCGACCATGCGTCTTTGCTTACTGGGCTATAGAAACAATAGGGCTTGAATTAAAAATACATTGTATGCGAAAAATATATATTTATTTCTTTAACACGTCATGATTAATTCTCAAGCCAACATATTATGCAGAGGATACTAGACTTATTGTGGTAAAGAATTATACTAACGAATTTTACCCAACTAAATATAAAAAAAAAATATGTCATTCTCGTGGTTCGACAGATAGATTAATTGAGAAACTGTTGGTAAGTGGTGGAACCACCAGACGTCATAGCGTAAATGGTACCATCTGTTTTGGAGTCGAAGTCCAAGTATCAAAATATGTTAAAAGTTGTCCTACCCTCAAAAGTAGAAGATTATATTTCTCGCGGCAATAGCCAATAGGATAATGATTATTATCCTTTTTTTATTGCTTAGATGGGCGGACGAGCTCACAGCCCATCTGGTGTTAAGTGGTTACTGGAGCCCATAGACATTTACAACATAAATGCGCCACCCACCTTGAGATATAAGTTCTAAGGTCTCAGTATAGTTACAACGGCTGCCGCGCCCTTCAAGCCGGAACGCATTACTGCTTCACGGCAGAACTGGGCGGTGTGGTGGTACCTATCCGTGCGGACTCACTTGAGGTCGTACCACCAGTAAAATCTATCTATTAATGCATCTATCTATTGATGCACACTATTTGCGTTCCAATGAATTTTAGTTTTATTATCAGAGAATAAAACAATGTGTAGTATTAGAACGTGTCATTTTAGATCTCTCGATTTAGTTTTTAGGTTTTGAATTCGGTAGCAGCAAATAAATTGTGCTTCAACAAATAATAACCTCAATAGTTCATAGCTAAGTTCATGATACCTATTTTTATCATGACGATTAAAACTCCAGATGTGTTGTTTTGATAAAAAACAACAAATATCCGCAACATTTGAAATTTCGCCTTAAACACTAGTACATAAGATACTTATTTCCTATTATTGAGAGATATTTACATTAAAAAATGACAATGTTCAGTCGAAGTGTCAATGGACTTATGAGTAAATGCGTTTGCAGTGACAATAAATAAAAAAAAGTTTTTTTTAATTAAATACATAGGATTTTTCGTCTTAGTGATTCGTTTTTGGTTAGATTTGTTAATAATCTCGTAGATATACATATAATGGGCATACAACAAAACACACACAACTGAGCGAATGAGCTCACTGCCCAGCTGATGCAAAGTGACTACTGGTGCCTATGGACATCAATATTAATTACTATCCTAAGCCACCAGTTAGTTATAATAGTATTCTCAAGAATAGTATAGTAATGGTGTAGTGGAGCTTAATATCCTTGGGCCCGCGGCCTGCTCCCAACATCTGCAGATCGCCAAGTCCCAAATACCACGCGCGCCCCCTAAACGTGGGGACCTCGTAGGCAGTTTGGCCCCCTGCCCATGAAAAAAGGAGTAGTGGAGTCTAAATACTTCAATTATCACCTGGTGTCAAAAGACGCATGATTGATATCTTATTGGCATAACTGTTCATAGCATATTGTAACCAAACCTGATGGTAATACTTAACGATTTCCAGTAGGTCAGTGGGCATGTTTTGAGCGGGCTAAGTTGAGCTCTTTTTTAGGAGCATCTCAATATACAGTATTTGACGTTGTAAGCTTCATCCACACAACGAATTCATTACAGAAGTTTTATTTATGACGTCAATAAAACCATTCACAGTTATGTATACACTTATAACTCAATGAATGACGTAATGAAATAAAAAAAAATTACCTTCTCCCGCTTAAAGCTAGTGCTACAATACAAACAAATTAAATAAATCTTCGCATGAAAATAATATAAACGCATGAACTTGAGTACTGGATTACAAAAATCACTAATACTATTATAAATTAATCTAATTGATAATATAACTTAACGTTTGAATATTATCACCTCGCTCTAACCTATGATTCATTTGAAGCACACTATATCGTAGGGCTTGGTTAAATAGGGTGGGTATATACACGTAATTACAAACATTATTGAGCGCCTTTATCACAACTTGTTGCCCTCAACATAATCGGGTAAATGCAACAGCGGAATTGCCTGCAATGGGATAATTAACTCTAGTGTAGTGCAAAATCTAAACAATTATAATGCACGTGTTCGTTTTCAACATTTTTTTTTGAGCGTTCAGTAGTCAACAACGGAGGGCACAGGCACTCAGTACAGCGGCTGTCAATGGAGGCTCCAGTCCATTGGTAAGTCCCTGGATGTGGAACGCGAATGGAGCGACGGCGGCGCGTTGGGTGCGCCGCGGGCCGCATGTCAGTAATCCAAAGATTCTTCGTCAGGAGACCGCTTTCGGCAGCAAAGACGCCAGGTGGCTCCTAGCGCACATATAGCCAAAACACTGGCCAGTCCTGCACCTAGAGCAGGAGCAGTCCACTCTCCACTTCCTGTACTTCTCGCCCTGGCACACAACTCTGGAGATTCGTCATTCATTTTTCCTAAAGGAAGTCCGGCTAGAGCGTCCAGGTAGCCCAATCTTCTCAAACTGTCCTCAGAGTACGCTTCTTTAGCTCGTTTTTCTTCGGCGGTCCAGAATTTCTTTTCAGACGTTGTAATGTTCGGACAATTAACAACGCCATTGCAAATCAGTCTTGCTGGAATACATAAGGCCTCGTCTCCAGGGCAAATAAAATCGCACCCTTGACCTGAATCCGTAGGCTTCATTCCTTCACCGGTTAATCGAGATGTCATTAGTGATCCATCTGAGTTTTTAGGTAAATGATACAGACCCGTCCAAGCAATTTTGAACGAAGCTCGTGCTGGAGAGGCACTCCCGATAAAAACAATCCGGATAGACCTCGTTTTCTCTTTTTCCATCACCAATGGATCATCTAAAGACTCAAACCCAAGTTCTCCAGCAGACAGAATAGGTAATTTTTCGGTCTCCGAAACATNTGTCATTAGTGATCCATCTGAGTTTTTAGGTAAATGATACAGACCCGTCCAAGCAATTTTGAACGAAGCTCGTGCTGGAGAGGCACTCCCGATAAAAACAATCCGGATAGACCTCGTTTTCTCTTTTTCCATCACCAATGGATCATCTAAAGACTCAAACCCAAGTTCTCCAGCAGACAGAATAGGTAATTTTTCGGTCTCCGAAACATTACCGCCGCAGACCGATAGATATGGTTCTATTCTTCCAGGTAAATATATTTGAATGTTACCGTCCTCGCAATGTCTCGAAGAAAACTTGATACTGTCGAAATGTAACCAAATATCCCTTTTTTCCTCAACCTCTAAATCCCAAATACATTGAATACGTTTTGGTGGTTCAGTGTAACCGAGTGCTTCTAAATGAGGATAAACTATTTCTCCATCAGACGCTGCAATCAGAACCGCAGGACCACAAAGAGGCCCATGAACGAATTCGTATCTAGCTTCAAAGAGAGGTGAGGGATTTTTGAAGTAAGAAGCAGCTGCATGGGCATTATCGACAATCAGCTGCAAGTTTAGGGATTCTCCTGAAGAGACAACTCTATAAGGCCTCGCTCTTGAGACGGTATTGGCGTGTTTCGCGCAAAGACAAGAGCCGAGTGAGCGTTGGACAGCAAGATGTAACGGAAGAGGAGTAGTGCTGATTCCTATGGAACTATTAGCCGATTTTCCTTTTAGCCCTGGTTCCCAAATTATAAGCTTATCAGCCCTATCTTCATAGCAGTTTTGACAGGAAACTGGCGTGTAAGGATGCTCCTAGAAAAACAACAGAATGAGGACTCGCACCTTGTTATTAAAAAAATCTAAATTATTAATTTGACTTAGTTATTTAGGTACCTTAAAATTGACGCTTAATATTGTTAATATGACTCTTGCGAAGATCCTTTTGTCTGTCACAAATCTGTACAAGCAATGGACGTCTTCGCCGGGCGGAGCCTGCTTGTAGACCAGAGTGTTTAAAGGAGATCGTAATCGGCCAGCTCTCTGTTTCCACGAAGCTATGACTTCATCACAAGCCGTCCCGGGGACAGGTTCTCCGAATCGTGTATTATTAAAGAAGTCGTAGTGAGCCCAGTAGTATAAAGAAGAGCTGAAAAAGAACAAGTTGGTCAAATTTATTTTACTAAAACTAATATCGTTGGCTTACTCAGTGAACTTTAGTCTCACATAAATTAATACGAAATTTATTTTCGCAATGTCAACACTTATATTGAAGCTTCAAAAATTGAAAGGGAAATCTGGATTATTTATCAGAACTAATATAAAGTAATTAAAAGGATTTTTACTTTTGTAATTATTATATTCATTTTATGATTTCTGAGTTCTCAAATGTAGTGTTATTTATTTATATAAATATATATTATAGTTTTTTATATTATTATGAATGTATATGCAACGAAAAAGAAATATATATTTATTATTAATTTTAAGAATTAATTGGTAGATAACAAATTATGCAGAGAATCGACTAAGAACAACTTAGTTTCTAATTTCAATTATATCTATGACTTGCGAAATCCGTAAATATTTCATTCTGCTAGTAATATGACATGTGATGAATACGAAAGTACTTCTGTTCGTTCCTTAGGTTTTACCTCTGTACCATTCAACCGATATTGAAGAAATTCGCCACGAAAATAGTTAGAACCCTGAGAAAGAATATGGTTTACCTTATAAAGACCCTGTTGAGCATTAGTCTCCACGCAGGAGGCTCTTACTAAAATAAAGTGCTTACCCACTGTAACTGCCGGTTTTGCTTTCAAATCTGACAAACATCGCGTTCCCGGTGGAAACGAAGTCATGTTTCTCCATAGGCCTACTGAAGGTGTCGCAAAAAGTCTTGATGATGCGGGCGTCGTCCGGTCTGGGAGCATCGTAGAGTGTCAGCGACTCTCCACAGTCACCAGTCCAGGGTACTATTGGAGACTCTATTCGGTTGATGCGGAAGCTGTAGACAATTTTGGTAATTAAGCTATAATATATTTATTTTGACTAAAATAAGGAAGGAATAAAGGCTTTGGGGAGTTTAACAACAAAGGGAAGATCTTCCACCGAGCGGATGATATTGCTCGGTAGACCGACGGTTCGAATGTTGTTGTTCGGAACTTGTATATATGCGCTTTATCTTGAAAATGTCGTAAGCGAGATTCAGGCATCTGTCAATTATCTTGCGTTGTATGATGGCTACCCGCCACAAGGCTATAAGGATGGATACCTTTTGATGTCTTTGCTACATTTATTTTCTTTTTTTTATTGCTTAGATGGGTAGACGAGCTTACAGCCCATCTGGTGTTAAGTGGTTACCGGAGCCCATAGACATCTACAATGTAAATAACGCCACCCTCCTTGAGATATGAGATATAAGGTCTCAGTATAGTTACAACGGCTGCCCCACCCTTCAAACCGACTCAGTGGGTTTGTGTCTATAGATTTTGTTATACATAGTATTGAGGCGTAGAACTAATGTGTCAATGAATTCAGTAGTAAAAAAAAGATAACATACCTGTACTGACTGATTCTGGTACAATCTCCTCACTTTATCATATTTTCGTTAGGGCACGGTGACAATAAGTTCACAAAAACAGCTTCAGATTGCATAATTTTATTTGCTTTCTTACCTGGGAAAGTACAGCCTCACAACCTGTCCAGGGAACCCTTGCATCAGGTAGGTACATGAGGTATGAGGAGGGTACCAATGCGCAACTGACAGGAAAATGCCTTCCGTGTCACCAGATTTTTTCAAAGATTCAGCAGTGAGCAGCCAATCACAAGTTCCTACTCTGGATCCTGGGGCTTCGACGTGTCCAGGCCAGTTGCCGACGTTAAAATGGAAACCAGTATTTAGCAGAGGCCCTGTTGCAGAAATAGCTTTTGTACGTAATTTCGTAGACATATGGTTGAATGGAAACACTGGGTTGTCTTTTTGAGACACCAGTTCACACAGATTATACAACCAAAATCTTCTTTCTAGTGATTTTTAGACTTTACATCCATTATTATCATGCTATTGCAAACCATTGTTTATAGTTTAACAGAAATTTCCATGCAGGATAAGAATGTCACTTCAAGCATCTGAGATATTATGATCGGAATGGTATTTATTTGCGAGGAGCGGGATGCGTTCAACCGTGGAATTCTAGAATTCTTCGATTCCGCCGTCTAGGAAATTGCGAGGCGGAAAATGCGGCGAATGTGAAGATTGAAATCTTTTAAGCCGTACGTAAATAGAAATACGGGCGATTGAATTAGTTAAGTAATACTTTCATTTTATTAAATAACCAACTTAAAGCAGCTTTAGGTAAGTTTTATTAAATTAATTGGTGCATGATCATGCAAGTTAATCAGTAGTAAGCGGGTAGATACCCAACCATATTAGCTTGGAATATGCCTGAACTTGAGTAATTAAGATAAGAACTAGGTTCCTTAGGAATAGGGTTGTTAAATAGGGAAAGAGGTACGGTAAAATAATACAAATGATTTATAAAGATGTTGCAATAGTTCGATGACGTCAGACTTACTTACACCCGTGACTTTACCAATTACAACTATTATCATGAAGATGCTCTGAGTAAAATTTGATATCTGACCAAATATTAATATTGATATCTGAAACAAAACATTACCTGCAGGTGAGCTGACGAATTCCACGAACAGATCTTGAGAAGTTCCGATGATTGAGTAAGGAAACTTGCCCATGCCGCAGAATGTACCAATCGCGGCTGCTGACTCGTCTTTACCATCGTAAATGCGAATGTAATCGTAAGGGCAATTTTCCGAACCTAAAAAAAAGAAAGGCTTTAATTTACTATGGGGGCTGTTTTTTATTTGGGAATATGTTTAAAAAGCTCACGAGTCGCTTGATGGGAAGCGGTTTTTAGTCCAACATGGCTAGATAGACGATATCATCATCATCATCATCCAATCCGAGGTACGAAGTTGAAATTATTTGCATTTCAATAATTAATTAAATAACCTAATTCGCTATTGAGACCAGAGTGCGTAATTGCTTGGAGAAAATACAGTGCTTAAACATATAATAAGTAAATAACTGGGAACAAATAACGCACGGTCATCCGGCCCTAAATTAATTATTTAGTTGTGTTATGGGCATCAGAGATTGATATACATGGTTATGTACGTTTTTTTACATATATACATAATACACACCCAGACGAAGACAAAAAAAAAGCATGTTCATGACACGAATGTTTACCAGATATGGAAACCGAATCCACGACCCTCGACGCATCAGTCATGGCCGCTAACTATTGCACCGCTGAATCGCTCAAATAATATCAATTAACCATTACTTATGAGATAGGAAGAGGTAAGTACGCTACTACTTTAAACCATCAGGTTGATTGCCGAATAGACTAAAATAATGACATCCTCTAGCTCAAAGGTCGTTTTAATTTTATAACAACTACAGCGGATAATCAAATAAGCACCGCTTTTTTCCTTTCGGTTATTTGAAACTAGAATAGTAAGTGGCTTTTTTACTAATGACTTGTTATCGTTGCTCATGGACATCACCAATGCCATTAAAAGAGAATAGGCCGCTTCCAGCTGAAAGCTTATTTCGATTCCTATTTGCAGAAGAACGTGTTATGTTGGTCAAGAAATACTGTGACAGGCCAGTCAATATAATCATAATAAAAAAATCAATAAGTATCTATATATATATATATCCTATAATAGGAAATGTACTGTGGGTGCATAGTGATGCCATCAGCAGGAATTAACTCTACTCTGGTAATGAGATGCAAAAAAGATGGTGACGGAATCATCAAAATTTCTCCGCAAAAATTTTAATGGCAACGCCAGTTCACGATGACAGTGACAGACATTTTATAAGAAAGAACAAAATAAATTTTCTTCTTGCTGGAATTCAGACACTTTGTGGCTCTGAAGACGCTAGCCGTAATTTACTTTGTCTCTCTTGTGAATAGCGTTTGACTTTAATTAAGCAATGTAAAATTACCGATCATTATTCGAATTTCATAAAATCGGTCCTTGAAATCGCAGTAGTTCTAGTGAAGCCCTATATTGCTACGGCTGCGTCGAACAAGAAATAGGGAAACGGTCATCCCATTTACATTTATTGGGTCAAGGGCCGTCCATATGTTAAGTTATGCGACCGGCCTGATTGCTGATGCGGGCCACTTCGATAGAAACATCGGAAACCAATGGGCCTTTAGCCGGATTGGGTAATACGTTTTGAAGATTGATTGTATTGTTTTGTTCTAGATTACCTAAGATAGTATATCTTAAATTTATAAATGAAAAAGTTATTTATTTTGGGTGTTTGTNATTGGGTCAAGGGCCGTCCATATGTTAAGTTATGCGACCGGCCTGATTGCTGATGCGGGCCACTTCGATAGAAACATCGGAAACCAATGGGCCTTTAGCCGGATTGGGTAATACGTTTTGAAGATTGATTGTATTGTTTTGTTCTAGATTACCTAAGATAGTATATCTTAAATTTATAAATGAAAAAGTTATTTATTTTGGGTGTTTGTTATCTAATGATGATTCCGGTGAAATTCGTAACCAGAAAACACAGGAAAGTATTTATAATGTGTCTAATTAACACCGGGTATGCCGTAAGCTCGTCCATTCATCTTAGCAATAAAAAAAACTAATAATAAATGCTTCGGCCATGTTGTTCGTTCGTGATATTACATACAAACAGGGCTATAAATATGTAGATCATGTAGGGTACATGATACGAACTTCTCTAATGGACTTGCAAAAGGTATAAATGCAAATTCGGAACTTTTGGTAAGGTGATTTAGTTGTGATTGGTTTTTTCCCCTTACCTATTCTAGTAACCTCAAGGGGTTATTCTAGATTGTGTACTACTAGTAGGTGAGTTCACGGGGCTCAAACCTGATGACGTTGCTAACACGAACCCTAGCAAGAGTCGTGCTTCGCAGAATCTGCCACCGGATCGGAAACGCGACCCACTGAAAAGATCTGACGAGAAACTCAGTGGGCTGTGTCTGTGGGTTAATTTACTCGTCGAGCCCTTCGTCGCAAGCGACGGGTTCGACGAGAATGATGACCGGTTGCGATGCGTACTTTATTAGTATTCCACCCGAAGCCAGATTTGCGCTTTGTAAAGTAAAGGTCTATGTCTAAGCGTGAAGTATCGCTTCGCTCTGTTAGGGATTCCCTTTTTGACTCCAACTTGGCTTTGTCCTCCAACTGACTCCAATATCGGACATCGCTCAAAACGTCGACCCCAAGTATCTCAATACCCGTGGAAGGTTGCAGGGATAGTCCTTGGAGTTACTCACTACGTTAAAATTGTCATGTCTATAGGCTATAATAATGTCATAAAATCAACGAATAAACAAGTGAAAATAAGATGACGCAAATGATTCGTAATAAAAATTTTTTTTCAGTTTATTGTTTTGAAAATAAACAAAACATGTATATGTATTTGACTTCAGTTTCCAATTGAAAAGATACCCTGTTAAAATTATTTATGATGTATTTCACTCTAGTAAAATATCTCAATTATTATTCCCTTTCAGAGGCTTTGTAACTACAATAAATGTAAATATATCCACAATCAAATATGCACAATGCCAAAGTATAAAGCCAAGCTGATAGATAATCTACAATGAAATAACATCCGCAGAAAAGGGCCAACAAGTCCGGTTCTTGTAAATACCGGTTTTTAACCGGATTAAACCGGAACAAGCCGGATATGCAAACGGCGGTGTATGAGGATTTAGTGCGACTGTATGCAAAATAAGTTGCGATGTTTTTAAGCTATTATTAAGTCAAGTTTCGTTTAAAATTACCATTTGTATATTATGTTAATGCATTTAAGCTAAGCGGATTCGGAGAATTTTGATAAATAAAACAGCTTTCAGTATGCTTGTATTGTATGCACTGAATAGAGATTTTAGTAGTGGTGGAGTGTATGCTGATATGTTTGCTTATGTAACCACCAACATGCCCGTTTATTAACCTCATGTTATAAGAGGATTTCGGTATCGGTATTCTATGCCTACGATATCAGTGGACTCCAGAGACTTAACATCTTCAAATAAGCGTAACAAGCGTAACAATAGAAGGACTAAATTGTTTGTCAGTGATACCAACAATGAAGTCAGTTCAGATACAAGATGGAAGACTCAATCACGCTAAATGATTTCTATCGACGGCAGTCTCCATTTCCTTATTCAAGACAGTATAAGTATCTTATTGAATTAATTTTGGACGCATATGGCGATGTTTAAGTGGACTTGAATGGCAGTGGCGCTGGTACGGAGAAGTTATGCGCTCCACGCTACCTCCACCTTGGCTAGTTTAACCTTATTCGAGGTTCGGATGCGGATCACATAAACCGTAGTCTGGCGATTAGCTCCTGACTGGGAAAAAGCCCGTAACACAGGAGAAGGTCCTAATTTGCAACGCTGACTTATTAATACAAAGTTAAAGATTAGAATACCTGATGTGATCGGCCTCATTGGACAAGTCATGATGTTCTCGCAACGTTGCCCGTCGATATTGAACTCTTCATTCTCAATGTAGAGCTTTATGTATGGTAGACGAGTGTTGAGATGATATCTGAAACAAAAGACAGTTCAAAACAAAAGAAAATAGTGGAAGCTCTCGTTTGTTTTAATGAAATTGATCTTGAAAAAGCGATAGAAGAATGTTTTCAAGATATCGTTCTAAGATAGAGCTGCTGGAAGCAAAGATAAATTTAGTTGTGTTATTTATTATATGGCGTTAGTTCTTTTAGGCTCTAGATGTCTCATGAATTTGTATCTAACTGGAACTTATGACTGCAGGGTAAATAGTTAGGATAATGGTATCCATCGGAGCGGGCTCAACACCCACCCTACCAACATAAATTCCTTAAATAACGCAGTCCAGTGCTCAATTTTGCACACCTGTTTTCTCTAATTGAAGTCATATCTCTATTATAATAAAATGCACTATATACTCCAATAATATTTTGTAAGTTTTATGTGGTTTAAGTATGTAGGTATATAAAATATAAAAAAAAAAGCAATCCTTGAGTTTTCTGCCGATTCCTCTCAATAGTGAACGGTAAAGTCATGATGATGAGTGACTTTGAAGGCTTGATTTAGTAAAAAAAATTTTTATTGCTTAGATGGATGGACGAGCTCACAGCCCACCCGGTGTTAAGTGGTTACTGGAACCCATAGACATCTACAACGTAAATGCGCCACCCACCTCGAGATATAAGTTCCAAGGTCTCAGTATAGTTACAAGGGCTACCCCACCCTTCGAACCGAAACGCATTACTGCTTCACGGCGGAAATAGGCGGGGCGGTGGTACTACCCGTGCGGACTCCCAAGAGGTCCTACCACCAGTAATTAATAAACCAGTTATTTAATAAAAAATATAACAAATAAGTCACTTGAATTCTACATAATTTTTAATGATATTCATATGGTAGCGTGAAAACAGGGTTTAGACCCAACTAATCTTATCTCGTGGGTGTAAAGCTAATTGATTCACTGGAAAGCAAGTCGCAGCGTTCTCTGAGTATACCAGTATACTAGGATCGCCAGTTATGGTTTATTGATTGTTAGGGTGTATCTATACCAATCACTAGTTTGATTACATGTATCAATATCGAAAGCAGTACACAACGACGGTTCTAGTAACTCCCATGTAGTTATAACTAGTGGGCCGAACTCGAAATATTTACGAAAAAAACAAAGTTTTGGATCAAGGATAAATCAATCATTCATCATCAATCATATAATTTATAATTAGAGTTTTAGCTCTAGAGGTGGGGTTTTGAAAATCGGATGTATATTTTTATCAGATTTAGTAAAAATAACATATTTACTTCTAGAACACAATTAAGGTTATGAAGTTTGCAGTGATAAACCGAGAATATTCCATTAGAGTATTGTTGGTGTACAACCACCCTCCCATGTTTTAGAGTCACGACCATCAGTCCCTAAACGCAGGGTAGGATTCAGATATAGATTTTGTTTTAATATTTTTGTTGCTTTTGTAGGTTAACGATCATAGACCCAGTCTACCGCTGACTAGTCTCCGTTAAACACTAGGTTTTGGTGGTAGGGCCTCTTGTGAGTCTGCGCGGGTAGGTACCACCGCCCTGCTTATTTCTCCCGTGAAGCAGTAATGCGTTTCGGTTTGAAGGGTAGGGCAGCCGTTGTAACTATACTGAGATCTTAGAACTTATATCTCAAGGTGCGTGGCACATTTACGTTGTAGATGTCTATGGGCTCTAGTAACCACATAATACCAGGTGGGTTGTGAGCTCGTCCATCCATCTAAGCAATAAAAAAAACTCATTTGAAGAAGGACAATAAGCAGAACATCTATCTCAATTAAATCTGTCTGCATTTTTAAATAGCAATTGAGAATCAGTGAAGGTAGGGCATATAGGGTACATACAGCACGTGTAGGATACCACCAGCCTGTCTCTCTCTGTTTGAACGAATATTTTGACTTTCTGTTATGAGTTCTATTGGTCCTTGTATTACATAAAAAATATAAACTGCATATAGGATTTAGGTTAGAATGAATTAATGGGATTGCGAAGGGAAATGGACATTAATGTTTTAATAATGTATGTAAAGATAAAGCGATTGTCTTGTTTAACTATAATATATTTGTAAAGTCAGAAATCAAATATTCGTAAAGAAAACATGAATGATGTTAAGTTGTAATCTGTGTTTTTTTTTATTGATCCGACATATTTTACTGTCTACTAATCTGACGAAGCATGTTGCGGATAATAACATGTACTTTTAGATTAGGAATATTATGTTCTTTTTTTTATAATAAATTTATCGATTTATAAAAATTTTCTAATCTATCTAATGTAATCTGTTTCCGTGGTCAAAGATGAAAGCAAAACAAAAACCCAAAAATACACCCCAATTCAGCCTCAATCCGGTCCTGTTTATGTCATGTCCCTAAACAAACACATTTGTCGTATCCAGAGCCCTTCCTCACAAATTTGTGCATCGTTCTTGGCTTTGTGTCAACGAAATCACAGCTCCCAAACATTGTTGTGCTGTTCTCGTTCCCTTAACGTAATATTGTATGAGAAAATTATAAGTGATATTGATTTAGGTATTTAGATTCTAAAATTTCATTATCGATATAGCAGAGCTGTAAATCAACACAACGTTTTTATTCTTTTTTTTTTTTTTATTGCTTAGATGGGTGGACGAGCTCACAGCTCACCTGGTGTAAAGTGGTTACCCAAGCCCATAGACATTTACAACGTAAATGCGCCAAGGTGGGTCCTTGAGATATAAGTTCTAAGGTCTCAGTATAGTTACAACGGCTGCCCCACTTTTCGAACCGAAACGCATTACTGCTTCACGGCGGAAATAGGCGGGGTGGTGGTACCTACCCGTGCGGACTCACAAGAGATCCTATCACCATAGACGTTCATACTATAGATATTCTTTACACAAACTTCATACTCGATTTAGCTGGGTGTATTCGAAGCCTTAAAACAGTATTTCAATCTCTACTAATAATTCATTTAAAATGGATATCGAATTTCAGGCACATTGTTTTTATTTTAAGATTCATCGGAACATTGAACACTTTTACAGTTCTCGTCGAAGCGTCATTGAAAATACAGAAATTTTATATGAAAATACAAAACGCGATTTTAATCCCAAGCTAGTATTAGGTGCAGCAATCTGCAGTGATTAATTTAAAATTCACTATCTACCTTTAAATTTAAATCATTCACTGAATTACCTGCAATGTAGATTCCTCGGATAAACGCCAGGATACGCTGCGGACTGGACGTAGCAAGTTTGCAGTCGACAGTCTCTGAACACTCGCTCGCAGTAAGACCTAGGGGAAAATTATTAGGATATAAAAAATTACGTTACAATATAGGATGCTATTATATTGTTACGTGCTGGGGTTCGGGATAAATAAATGTTCCACCAAAGTACAATTTAAAACTGTATTAGCACTTAGAGCACGTAAAACACTCGTGGGTGTAAAATACAGCTAATTGATTCACTGGAGAACAAGTAGCAGCGTTCTCTGAGTATACCAGTATACTAGGATCACCAGTTAGGGTTTATTGATTGTTAGTGTGTATGTATAAGTATACCAATTACTAGTTAGATTCATCATCATCTTAGGCCTTACAGCCCAGGGTGGGCCTTAGCCTGGTCCAGTATGTCTCTCCAGACCTACTGGAAAAATTCTCAATGCGCTTCTTCCATTTCGCTTCAGGTGATCCATTTGCTGTTTCGCTTCGAGTAGTTCCGATTACTAACTGACTGCGTGCCATCTCTGCAACGCTTTTATAGTCGAGATGAAATCCCTAGAATCGTCGAGAATATTCCACAAAAGTCTAGTATTGTGTGTGTTTCCGCTATCTAACAATAGATGGCGTTGTACTTCTCGAGCGTTCTAGATGCTACTAGATCCTTCAGTATTCGTTCGACTATTCGGAGATAGATGGCGCTACTTTTACCGGCGTAACAATAAATGATCCTATGATAGGATCCTATGTCTTAAACCAGATTATAAATTCCTCTTTTTGTTTGCGAAATTAATTACCATAAACTAGAGCAGAGTTTTATGGCACCCGTTTTTATACAAGAAATAACACGATATATTAATTTCAAATAATTAATACGTGAATAAATGGCACTAAAAGGTGTTAACAATTCACAATATATGACTAAAATCTTCAAGATAGAGAGCTCCGAGTAAATGTTGTCTAGAATTCATTTAATTACGCAATTTGCAGGCGACAGGTCTAGATAATGACGCTCGGACATTTTTATGGAGGACTCTTTCGCAGCAATTAACATAAAACTGCTTTCAATTTGGCTCGTCGTTATGACGTGAAATAAAAAATTCATTTCACCGGATAATGCTTGAAGTGCTCAACGAAGTTAATTGCTTTTAAAAAAAAACGAACAATGATTAAAACCAGTTTGATAGTTTTCGCGTTTGTTAGTTCTCGGAGTATAACTAATAATAAATAAATAAATAATAATAATAAATATTTACTAACAATCACGCCACGTTAACTGGTCCCGTGATAAGTTCGTAAAGAACTTGTGTTACAGGTACCAGATAACGGGTATTAATGTAAGATTTTTATTATACACATACATATATTTAATATACATCCATAACCCTGGAAAATACATTTATATTTATCATACAAATATCTTCCCTTGGCCTGATTCGAACCCGCTACCCCCTTGTGTAGTGACCATGTCACTTACCACTACACCAGACGGCCGTTTATGACTTATAGTCGCTATGCAATACGTTAGGCAAATATGAACTACCATTAACGATGCTAATAACAATAAAAATTGAGTAACAACGGGCGTCTTATTTACTAGCATAAATTCAAAAACAGCTTAAAATGACTATGAGTAGATAAATGCCAGTATTTTTTTTGTCATTCAGATAAATCCGCTCAGCCAATTTATCTCCTGCAATATCTCTGTCGATTCGAGTTATTACTATAAGCTAATCAACACTTGCCAACTCACTCAATCACCAATACGTAGGCTGAATAAATCAAACCCTAATAGGGCTGGTCGTTCAGAAGTTCTTCAGCTTTGATTTATATAATTATGATGAATTTACTGTTTGCGTGAGGGGAAATTATTTTTAATGGGTCATCGATCATAATATTTTAAGAGCATTCGAGAGTATATTGATTATTTAAATAATAATAATTTTTATGGTAGACAGCGGCTTGGCTGTGCCCCTGGCATTACTGACGTCTATGAGCGACGGTGATCACTTACCATCAGTTAGGCCGTATGCTCGTCTGCCTACAAAGCCAATAAAAAAAAAGAAAAATATGAAATTGAGTCTATTGACAGTTTATTTACTAATAGAACTTGTATAGGTAGGCATTAAGTCAGGTATGTATATGTCCGGTCCTATACCTTGAATTGACTGACGGTATTTACGTAGTGATGTGCTTCTTCTGTAACAAATGTAACCAAGTGGTTCGTTTGCCTTGGTGATAAGTGGTTACCGTAGCCAGTTATATCCAATAGCTTCAATAAACTCCACCCACTTTGAGACATGAAAAAGAAATCCCGGCATATTACACAAGGGGGTCGCGGGTTCGAATCCCGCCAAGGGAAGATATTTGTATGATAAATATAAATATCTTTTCTAGGGTTATGAATGTATATTAAATATGTGTATGTGTATAATAAAAATCTTATATTTATTTCCGTTATCTGGTACCTGTAACACAAGTTCTTTACGAACTTATCACGGGACCAGTTAACGTGGCGTGACTGTTAGTAAAATATAGTAAATAAATAAAATATGTTCAGTGAAAAAGTTGATCAGCGAATTGTCCACTAGGGTTCAGAGCAACAACATGTGATAACATTTTACTTGTTTGTTGAGCTTTAGTGAAGCATGTATTCATACTTTTGATTGTTAAACCGACAACCCTACGATCTGCCAATTACTTAAAGGGCTTATCCCGATGTCGCGAACGCTAGAATCATTGCACGCAGGCCCCAAATGGCCACCACTTTGGGCGGTACGTGACTGAAATGGCTTATAAATCGCTCCGAATTGTCGGCGTGAGCAGGGAGTCCACCTATTATTGCGTAGTGCAGATTTATGCTCGGTGATCAACAGCCCGGATGAAAGCGCCGAGCAGTAGTACACTTGGTTCCATTTCAAATTTCTTGACCCATGAATTTGTTTGAGAGTGTAATTTAAGTAATAAAACCCTTAAAGATAATAATGTTTTCCAATTATCGATGGTCTCCACAGATGAGTACTATTAACCTGTACATAAACGATTTGCGGCCAAATTATCAATTGTCAATAATAACTGCTGACTAGATGAGGACAAAAGAGATTTTAGAGAGAGAGAGAGAGAGAGAGAGAGAGAGAGACGAACATAAAATATAGGGTATGAAATTAAAGCCAATTTTATTCCAAAATTAATTCTACGTTTGTATAGCTTTAGATTTGTGATCATATTTTCTCTAATCCCTATTTTATCATACAAAAAATTATCGTCACATTTCAATCCGAAAACCACATACGATTTATTATTCGATTGAAAGCGTTGAAACACAGCAAATCTGTTTAGCGCTCCCCACGATTTCTCGGCTAGTAAATCCAAAAACAAACCACATATAAACATAATGAAATTTCCGTTTGAAATCCCCTTTTGTTACGGCTGAATTCCAAGCGTATCATGTAAAAGTCAACTCGCAATTTCGAACGATTCTCGCGAACGATTTTAAAATGAACATCACGTACCCTTTGAAGTCTGTTCTATAATTCGGTAGATAATTTAAATATTGGGGAGGAGAGGTGCAGGGGTTTGGTATAGGGGCGGAAAAGAACCGGGGCTCTTTTGTTTGCACCCCTATGGTTGATATCGAGTTTCGGTCTCCCATTGTCCTGTAGGTGTGTGATAAAATTTGTAAATAACGTTCTGGATGAGCAAACAAGGGATCTTTTTCAAAGGATTTAGATTAGGACGAGAAGCCAATATGTTAACATTTTTAATTATATATTTTTTTAAACAAATTAAGCAATAGTCGAGCGGGTAATTCGTGAATTTGAATATCATTAATTTCATTTATGTACAACTTCACATTCTAACTATAGCTGATTTTAAATGTAACACTTTAAATGCTCTTAGGCAGTTACAATAAAATAAGCTCTACTGCTAAATTTGAAACATTAGGCTTATACTTCCTTAGTATTAAAATTGGAATTCTTAAAATGCATATCCGTTTTAATACGTCATTGTAACTACAATGTTGACTGAAATTGATTTAAAAACTTTGACGTCTACTTCAAAGGGAGCGGCTTCGTGGGCAGCTGAATTCGTGACACAGCTGATGTCCGATCGATCGTTCCCTATCAAGGGTCGTATACTACTTTTTAAAACAGTAAAAAATCATCTACCATGTGTATTCTGCATAGTAGTAAACAAGGATCAAGCATTATCATCACGATTCAATAAATAAAATCGAATAACTTACCTCACCGCTAACTTGACAAGTCAGGTGGTGACTTAACGGTATTATGGAAGCCGGTGACAAATGAAAATGCAAAATTAAATTTCTCTTACCCAGCCACAACCTCTCCTCTTCTGTTTGGATACAACTCTGGATGTTGTCCGTAGCGTAGATATACTTCGAATTGTTGTTCGGCTCTGAACGAAAACAATAAGTTACAGGTTCCAATTTTGGAAGTCATTACTACTATATAAATGTAAGATATTTAAATTATACATCATTAAATTGAACATTATTTTGGAAGTGAAAATATCAGCAGCAGTACTTGTCTAGTGGTACTGAAATTCTTGTTTATCATAAGACTTCTTCTCGGAGGGTAGGATGATAATTTCTGCTTAAAAAAAATTTGGCAGTAAGTTGAGAAAATAATGATAAATAAAATTTTCTTATTAATCTAAAGTCATACAAAATACTCCTAAACAGTATTGTTTCTATAGGCTGTCTCAATGGTAGGTTCGTTTTTTAATACAGATACAAAGCTAAGGCAAACTATACCACACTGTAGTATTGGATGCATTACAATTGACAAAAATTCAACAGAACTTTCAAAGTGCAGCTATAGATATTTTTTATGTGGTATGTTTCGGTTTCGTATGGTTTTTCGTTCGGTATGGTATGTTTCGGTATGGTTAGGTTTCGGTTTGAAGGGTAGGGCAGCCGTTGTAACTATACTGAGATCTTAGAACTTGTATCTCAAGGTGGGTGGCGCATTTACGTTGTAGATTTCTATGGGCTCCAGTAACCAATTAACACCAGGTGGGCTGTGAGCTCGTCCACCCATCTCAGCAATAAAAAAAAAGTGGTTGGATATATTAAGAAAGGCGACGAAAGTCGTGGCATTATAAAAATCCATTATACTTTTTTATAGCTTAGATGGGTGGACGAGCACTCGGCCCACCTGGTGTTAAATGATAACCGGAGCTCATAGACATCTACAAAGTAAATTTTAACACCCACCTCGAGACATGAGTGTTTTTTTTTATTGCCTAAATAGGTGGACAATCTCACAGCCCACCTGGTGTTAAGTGATAACCGGAGCCCATAGACATCTACAACGTAAACGCACCACCCACCTTGAGATACAAGTTCTAAGGTATCAGTATAGTTACAACGGCTGCCCCGCCCTTTAAGCCGAAACGCATTACTGCTTCACGGCAGAAATAGGCAGGGTGGTGGTACCTACCCGTGCGGACTCACAAGTGGTCCTACCACCAGTAAATCATCCAGTCATCAAGTTTGAGCCCCGTGAGCCCACTTATTAATACGGCGAATCTAGAATAACCCCTCGAGGTTTCTAGAATAGGTAGGAAAAAAAGAGACATGAGCTGTAAGGTCTCAGTTTTAACGTACATTGGTACTTTCGATTTCATGGCCAGAACAGTCAGTTGTTATCACAATCGATATCACGTTGATGCTAAGATGGCCATGAGTTTGTCAGTCTTTATTAATGAAAAAACTGATGAAGGTACAATTTGGTACTGACAGGAATGTATTTAGTACGTTTTTGCAGGCAATAAACTTAATCTAAATAGTATTTTGTAAAAACATTATGTGTACATACTATTGTATTGTAATGACGTCATTTAAATTACAAAGAAAATAAAAACCCAAAAAAAAAGTACAACAACAGAAAATGACAGGAAGGGATTGAAAGCCTTTTAAACAATTTTTACTAGTGGTAGGACCTCTTGTCCGCGCGGGTAGGCACCACCGCCCTGCCTATTTCTGCCGTGAAGCAGTAATGCGTTTCGGTTTGAAGGGCGGAGCAGCCGTTGTAACTATACTTGAGACCTTTGAACTTATATCTCAAGGTGGACTGTGAGCTCGTCAACCCATCTAAGCAATAAAAAAAAACCCTTGATCTCTTTTCAAATTAATATTAAAATGAAACAGTAAACAGCATTAATAAACTATACAAAACTGAACTATATTTTTACTGAATGACAGGCTTCACTCCATGACACTGAATGACACTGATGAAAAATTATTTTTAAAAACTAAAAGAGTTTTAAATAATATAGTGCCTTTGTACATAATTTTCCTATTACTCTGTATTATGTCCTCTTTTCTGTGTGTACATAAATAAATAAATAAAAAATAAATAAATAGATTTTTCATTACACAAATACATATGTTCTCATTATGTAACTTTAAATGAGGAAGCAAGAAACCGCAATACGTACCGAGAATCGAAACTAAAGTAGGTCTGATCAGTAAAGTTATCAGCGTGGAATACAATCTTCACAAAGTTAGTCTCCGAGATGAAGGTCTGCGGTTGCTCGATTTCGCCGCAGAACAGACCTGGCTCCTTCCTGTTGGATACGTCTGTTTTTGCGTTGCCATCAACTATCTGTAGAAAAATTAAAGTGAAGGTTTATGGATATTCTTTTGCTACTATGTCTAATGTCTACTAAATCTTTGGTATTATTAAGATTCTAATGTGTTTCTCAAATGTTTTGTGTTTCACATCTCAAGTGTTTCTCTCGCGGCCGATCATCCACGAGGTGGACAGACTTGGTTAAGTTATCTACGAGGTGTGCCCACTTATTAATTCGGCGAATCTAGAATAACCCCTCAAGGTTTCTAGAATAGGTAGGAAAAAAACAGACATGAGCTGTAAGGTCTCAGTTTTAACGTACATTCGTAGTTTCGATTTCAAGGCCAGAACAGTCAGTTGTTATCATATCTAAGATGGCCGTGAGTTTGTCAGTCTTTATCAATGAAAAAACTGATGAAGGTACAATTTGGTACTGACAGGAATGTATTTAGTACGTTTTTGCAGACAGTAAACTTAATCTATTACAGTATTTTGTGAAAACATTCTGTGTACATGCTATTATATTGTAATGACGTTATTTAAATTACAAAGAAAATAAAAACCCAAAAAAAAAGTACAACAACAGAAAATGACAGGAAGGGAATGTACACGTACCGCCACAAATAGAGAGAGATAGAGAAGTCTCTCAAAAGCCACAACCAAACATTAAGACATACGTAACCACGACCACTTCGCCAGGAGTGAGAAAAAAAAAAGTGTTTCTGCTTCCGTCCTATTTCATTTCATAGCTTATAGTATTTTTCCCCATACCCATAAATAACCGCTACTTAGAAACGCATCGCTTTATCCTATGTCACATGGAATAGTTATTCAACACTTACAGCTCCGGTCAAATTTTTTTTATCCCTGATTTCTTAGCAACCAAAATACTTGAATAACTCTCTTTATCTTTATTCAGTTTCAGTAGTAAAATTTAAGATCCTATGGACGTGTTTAATCTATGTATAAGTCTTGTACAGGTTCATCAACAGGAAAGCGTCGACTTAAATAGCTCGTGAAATAAAAATTTTACGACCATCTAATCCAGAGATCGTTTTTGCCATACAGTCTAAAACAAGATTCTCCTCCAATGGCTGCCTGGCTCTATAGTATTTTATGATTAAATTACCTTTTAATTAAATATGTAGTTGGGTCAAAAAATGTTGGTGATCGAAAGAAAACAAACAAAAATAGCAACTTCATTACAAGACCCAAACCCCTAAAACTCTAATTTTAGATATTCAATTTTAAAATCGCCGTGAATCACTATTCGTGAATCGTCAGTTCTGTATCGATCAGTGTCAAGGCAACATAAATCTCCAGGGCGTCGGTAACACTGTAGAGGAGTTCTAATGATTCCCTCGGGATTGTTGGAGAGTTGTAAGCAGATGAATGATCCAATAATTACTGGTCCGGATTGGCTTCAACACGGGCCCTAGTTTGCAAAGTTCTTTCACCCTTGTATTGTGACCAGGAGTTTTGTGGACACAGGATAGATGTATGACTGTTTAGATATTGTACAATATCGCATAGTGACGTTCGCTCTACAATGGACGAATTTTAAAATTTACTCGATTTTTAAAAACAAATAAGATTTAAATAAATGCTACCTACAGAATAAATAAATTTGGCCATATTAAATATTATATCCAATGCAGTTGCATGAAATCCTAAGAAATTTTTTAATCAAGTATATCTATATATATAAAAATGAATTACTGTTCGTTAGTCTCGCAAAAACTCGAGAACGGCTGGACCGATTTGGCTAATTTTGGTCTTGAATTATTTGTGGAAGCCCAGAGAAGGCTTAAAAGGTAAATAAATATGAAAATGCTCGGAATTAAATTTAAAAAAGGGTGCGTGTACTTATGTACGCGCGTAAAAAGTTATCCTTTATTTTTATTAAATGGTTTTTTTTTTTTATTGAAATTTTAATCAATTTGAAAAAAAATCGATTAAACAACATCCTCAAACACGCATATTGGACATCCCTTTTCTTGACATCGTATAAATTCGGTAATTCTCGGTATGGTTCGGAAAGTTCGCCTGCGGCTATATTCAGACTCGCTAAGTTACGTCGGTCGTATTGTATGAGCGATTTAGTGGGCAACTTCATTCTGTTAATTTTGTGTCACGGTGCGCGCGCATCGTAAAAATTCAGTCTCATTAATTTTTCATAACGCGCCTAAAGAAGTATAACTTCAATAATATCTTTGTTTTTCCGTCGGGCGGATTCCTTTTGTTTGTTTTAAGTTTTATCGATTTAGGCACTACGAAGTCTGCCGGGTCAGCTAGTATATTTATAAAAATTTAAGGATAAGCTACGACTAAGTAAAAAAAAATATATTTTGATATTTTCGCAATCAGCAAAAACATAATGATTGATCGAGAAAATTAATCTCTGCAGTTATTACAATCCATATAACATTTTCCGTGATATCAAATTATCCATTTGTTTACCGTCAAAACTTCCAATAAATTACGTCTAAAGGTATTTTTTAACAGCCAAGATTATCTACATTACCGCGAAGTCACCCTACCGATCAGCAAGTCAAAAATTAATTAGAGGAATCCTCGAAACGAACTCAATTAGTTCTACTTTTCTGCTGGAATCGTTTCGTTTTGTTCTGTTTTCCTTCCGGTTCGCTTTCGGACGCTAACTACTCTAAGTTACTCCAATTTGGCTATTAAGATCACGAGATATCCAGGAAAATAAACGACGATGAAAATGCGGTACATAATCAATAGCCCAAATACAGGATTTTGTCCCATATTATAGATACCGAAAACAGACACGTGCTAAACAACCGTGCGTCTAGACCCCGAATTAAAAATGTTTGATAGATACTGTTGCTGATCATGAATTGAACCAAGATCTTGTAGTACATCATCATCATCATCATCATCAGCCTGCGGCAGTCCACTGCTGGATATAGGCCTCCCCCAAAGCCCGCCACTGAACCCGATCTTTGGTTCTACGCATCCAGTTACTACCAGCTGCCTTGCGCAGGTCGTCGCTCCATCTAGCAGGAGGGCACCCTACACTACGTTTGCCGGTTCGCGGTCTCCAGTCTCCAGTCTCAAGATCTGGTAGTACAGTATTACTGAATTATTGCGGTGGAAGCTTGAAGGGTTTTAATTCAATTTTAATTGGAATTTCTTAGTTGTAAGGAGAAGCATGGCAGCGCCCCATACATTGCTGATGTTTACGAGCGGCGGTAACTCGTCACCATCAGATGGGCCATGCTCGTCTGCCTACAAGGGCAATAAATAAAAACTAGTCACTGTTATGTCTATGTTGTATTATTTATAGATATATTTAACTAATTAATCTTTTCACATTTGGAAATATTCTTTCTAATGGTCTGTTTCAAGGGATGTTAGCTATTGACCATACACAATGTTAATGTAATTTTAACAAAGCTTGTTTTTCTTTCTTTGAATAGATATTAAGAGTTTATGGCTCAAAATAAACGGCTACAAGATTTTTTTGAAAGATGGAAGGATTGCGATTGACGGAAATCTGAAGTCCACCCAAACAGTGTCGCCAACTTGTACCCTATAACTTGGTGTACTGTGAACATTTGAGTGTGAGTTATTTCATCTCTATATGTTTCAATTCTGTAGTAGAAAGATTTTAAGAATTATTTGTTACTGAATTTCTTACCTGCATATAACCTTTATGGCAAGTAGTCCCGTTCACAAGCGTACCTACTTTGAACTTTTTGAATCTTATTCTCAAAATCCAGTCTTTCGGTGACCCCCGGAATGCCCGAAACCTGTATAAGGAAACGATTTCTATAATTCGGATTTGGCATGCTATTGATTATATCATCATCATCATCATCATCAACAGCCTACAGTCGTCCACTGCTGGACATAGGCCTCTCCCAATCTACACCACTGATTATAATCTCATGAATATAACAATTGCATGTTTTGTTTTTTATTTCTCGTAACGTGGGCAGACAACCAATGAGGAGGACCGACGACTTGGTCGAAATTGCTGGTAAGGAAAGTCAAGCGATCGAAAAGATTGGAATGCACATGAAGAGACCTACACTCAACATTAGGTGGAAACTGGTTGAAGAAGAGAGAGATATATATTTTTGCTAAACGTCGCTAAATTCTTCGCCGTGGAAATCATTCGCGAACATGTGTCAAGTATATGTGTGCTTAAAAATGGTATCTCTGAGAGGTTTTAAACCACGTTATAGTTCACTACTCATTGACTTAAGGTTTTTTAATTCTCTAATTAATTTGACCGAAATTTAATTTACCTAAAATTTATTAATTAAATTTTAATTAAATTTTGGGCAAAACACCAGCCAGATGGTCAGATCTAGTAAGGGAAGCACTTGGTGGTAGTCTGTCACATGCGGTCTATGCTATTCATGATCAAACAATGTGGAGGTAAGTCACATGTGGTCGCGATCCTCAGCAGTGAGGGAACGATATAGAAGAGAGTAACCAGTATTTGTGCAACATTGTCGACTTACCTATATGTACAAGTGAGAGGTCGTCCAAAGTTTTCTGCGGTGACCGGCGGCGAAGACACATCTTCGTAAATTTCAACTGTTTTATTACAGTGATCCCGTTTCGGATCTGTTGATAAAAGAAAATTCACAAATTTAGCTTTCTGTTCCTGATATCTTCATTAAAATATTTACTAGATAGATTTACAGAATGTTGTGCCGTACATGTGTTAATAGAATTTTGGACCTAAGCGAATTTTCGAATGAAGATACCAGTACCTCGTTGCTTTATCTTGAACACTACAGACGCATCGAAAATGGTGTATAAATGCGCGTGTGTGAGTGAAAAGAAAAACCCAAGCAAGACAGAATACAGAAAAATTAATTTACCCTGCAAATTTCCCTCATAAAAAAATCTAATTAAGAAAAGCATTAATACTTTTACAACTACCCTCGTAAATCTAGTTATAACGATTTCGTTCTGGAAAGTTCGAGCTTAAAGCAAACATCTGCGCAGTCTGGCTTTCGAGTAAAAAATATTAAAAGCATTCAGCTCGGCCACATAACTTTGTTCCGCAGTTTGCAATTCAAAACTATTGGCTGACACGCAGCTTTTTAAAATCGCTTACGTATTACTAGTCAAACATAAAGCTTCAAAAATATTATAATGAAAATGTTTTTACTGACGACAGATCTATGACGGAGTGCTATGTTCATTAGTTAATGATTTTCGACCGAAAAGTAATCATTGTAATGGTTACTTAATAATATATCTTGTTTGTTTTCTCTTTAAATGGAAATTAATCAGTTTTTAGTCCCGGTTTATAGTCCAGGGAAATAAGATTTGAAGCCCAATAGTTTGAAGTATGATGAAGCTATTTCTGTTTGTTGTAAATACTCTCACTCTTGAACTCTTTCATGTACTCATTCAACTCAATAAAGTTTGCGATGAGATTTATAAAATTAAACATGTATTTAAAAATGGAAATGAATGATTTATTTATTTATGGACCGGTCGCACTGGAAATCTATTGGAGAGGCCTATGTTCAGCAGTGGACGGCGATGGGCTGAAATGATGATGATGATGATTTAAAAATCGTATGCTTATGTTTAAAGTTTTCACTAATCTTGGTAATGAAAAATATGGTTTTATCTCTAGCACCTGTGGTCTTCGAGGTAAGTAAGAAAGAGGTTTCCTTATAAATAGTTAATCGAATGTAGTTGTAGAATTGTGAGAACATTTTGTATGGTGAAACGGATGGCCACGATTGGTTGACCCATCCGGAACGCGCGTCCTGTACGAAGCGGACATAATTTATACTTATATTGATTTGTTTAACTTTGCGGGTTACCACGATTGCGCAGGGAAAACGACACGAAGAAACAAATTTGTAACTTTGTGGATTTCCTTTTTAGCAGATTTACCAATTATGTAAAAAGTAAATTTACACTTAAAGAGAGCGTGTGAATGCGATAATTTTTTTCTTCTGGAGATCGGCAGACTTTATCTTTTAGACTTTATCGGCAGATTATCCCACCAATTGATTACCGGAGCTCAAAATCCTTGAGATACATTGAGACATGAGGTCGAAGTCTCGACTGTATTCTTGAATGACTTTCCATCCAAGTTATTAATCAAACGTGGCAGATATCGGCTTATTTGTGGTACGTGTGAACTAACAATACGCCCCATGTAAGTTTACAAATTTAAAAACATATAATATTGTTACGCCGGTAAGAGTAACGCCATCTATTGCCGAATAGCAGATATGAATATCAAAGGAACTAGTAACCTCGAGAGCGCTCGAGAACGCCATCTATTGTCAGATAGCGGAAACACACATCGAAGCTACTCGACTTGCCCAGAATGCTCTCGATAAATCTAGGGATGTCGTATCGATAATAAAGCGTTGCAGAGATAGCACAAAGTCGGTTATTAATCGGATTTACTCAAAGCGAAACAGTGAACTGATCACCTGAAGCGAAGCGGAACAAGTGAATTGAGATTTCGAAAGTGTTCGTTAAGTGTTTTAAGTATTGTAATGTGTAATTGTAAGTATTCTAAGTGTTAATACAGTCCCAATTTATTTTTCGGTAGAATTTTTATTTGTCCCGAACCCCAGCGCGTAACAATATTATAAATTTTACTATCACTAACCTATCCGGTGTTATATACATCATATTTGGACGTAGCGGGAACAATAATAAATTAATAAAATGAATGATCAATCTGCAAATGCAAAAAAAATTATCTTTAACGCACAGACACACTGTTATTGTTACAAGACAATGTATAAATATTTTTAGAAACACATTATATATTTAAACTTGGATTGAAACTTAAAGGTATTTAAGTTTACGACGGGCGCATCAGGTGTGTTGTGACACCCTAAAGCGTTCTAAGACTTTAAGTTGCTTTCTAAATTATTTAAGTTTAACTGTTATTAACATGTTTGAAGAAATTTTGAAGAGTCCTTAGACTCTGCTTAGTATTAAAATTTCTCCACAGTATTTTCGGAGTGTTACCGAATTTTCTTCTCCAAGCAAAGTTTACGAAAGGATATAGTGTCAGATACAGTTTGGGTTCACTGATGTCTAAAGCTCTACCTTAGATACGATTAACATTCACATCGATTACTTATACGTCCACGACAGGTCCGAAAAAAGCTCTCCCAGAGCTTTTTGTTCCCAGTTTCGACCGTGGGGACTCGAGGCTCAAACTTTCGTCCCCAAGAGCGTAAGCTATACGTCAAAATGACAGTAAACTACTCGAAGTACTTATGGTCCCGGTTTTGTTACAAGATTATTATGTTAGGATGTTCTTGGGAGGCAATTATGTTATGTAGAGCTTTTCCTGTCCCCTCTCGACTCTATTGTTGTTCTACTTTTTCTACCAAATAAGAGTTAAGTTTTATCTGGATAGAATGATCAATCGTTTTTCAAAGCAAAGGTCGCGCACTGAAGTATCTTATAGGTTTTCTTTTTTTGTTCTAGCTAGTGCTGCATAAGTCGTCAAACAGTTTAGATGCAGACGTTGCCTGGCGGATAATAATGAAATTGATAAACTTCGCACTGGATGTGACGTACGGGGCTTTCAAAAAAGCTAAGCATATCATGGTACTATGAATCAAATTTGCTACTTCTAGCATGATAGCTCATGTCATATTGCTGAGTAATTAGTGGAACAAAACGCAACTGATAGAATATATTCTATGGTTAATTAATTATAGTAGAATTTTGAAGTTGACCGATTGATGTGTTTGAAACAAACCGTGTGGCGGAACAAAGTTCGCCGGGTCCACTAGTATGTTATAAAGGTGAAACAAATGATTTTTTAAATATTGAAATATTAGAAATATTAAAACATTTTTTAATATTGAAATATACAAAAAACATAAAAAAACTGGTGAAGCAATAACTTTAAATGTTGTTTCTCTTTATAGAGAAACTCAGTTTGTGATATAGTTTTACTAGGCTCAACTTTATTTTGATGTGAATAAAATAATACATTAAATATTATATACTAACTCGTAAATTTCCAAATGAGCATTGCCAGTGTGAATTCAGTCTCGGGGACTTCGAAACTCATACAAACCGATAAACTATTGCGCGATGTGTACATGTTACATTGAATTACAAGTTATAGACTACTACCATACAAACTGTTATCCTATGACTATCAGAATATTTAATAAGATACCAAACAGCATAAGAGATCTTCCACTAACTCAATTTAAAAGAAAATTATATTTATGGCTAATAGACAAGGCTTATTATAGTGTGCAAGAATTTTTAAATGATAAGTGTTGTACATAATAAAATATTAGAATAAGAAGTGATAGAATGTAAAAATAGATAGATTTAGTAAATTTTGTGTTAGAATTAATATAAAAATAAATTAAATTTACCGCNCGGGAGCGGCAGGCACGACAGAGGCTGCGGTGCTCAATGCAGAAGCTCTGCACGCAGGTACAGGCGACGCAGGAGCAGCGAGCGCGGCGGAGTCCTCGAGAGGGCTCGCAGTGTGATTGGCCTTGAAGGCCAAAAACTCCGAGGCGAGCTGTGGGTGGCGAAGTCGGAGGAATTCCGCGAATACAGCGTCCATGATCGCTGAGTACCCAGGTGGGGCGGCCCCGGGTCTTGAAAACACTCGCCTTGCGGCGAGGCCCCAACTTCTCGGACCTGAGCGGTTCTATTGAACACAGGTGGCAATGCGGCGCGATTACTACAGGACAAAGAAAAAGCACAACAAAACAGAAATTACGAAAAGAAACAAAACAAATAAATACTTGCAGGAAACCACTTTGTCGGCAAATGTTCCACGAACACAAAAATAACTAAAACAAAACAAATAAAAGCTTCCAGGAAACACACTTGGTCGGCAGATGTATCACGAACACAGGCCGCGCGAACAATGGCCGGGCTAACAAAAGCCGGGCGAACAAAGACCGGGCGATCGAGTGGACGATGAGCACGTCCGCACGTGACGGGTGCCTCTATCGGAATGTGATTTACCGCATGCCTAAACAGGCGAAATATATGAAACTATGTCCTATATCCATAATATGTTGTAAACTATATTTCTGGCGAATAAAGATTTTCTTTCTTTTCTTTCTTTTCTTTCTTTTCTTTCTTTTCTTTCTTTTCTTTCTTTTCTTTTCTTTTCTTTCTTTTCTTTCTTTTCTTTCTTTTCTTTCTTTCTTTCTAGATGTGAGATGTAATGTGATAGCGCCTTCGTTGTGCAATTTGTTGTATTGGCAATAGTTACTTTATACGTATCTCTAGTCTACAATTTTGGATTAAATCTGTATTGAAATTATAATTGTGAAAGCATGTTTGTTTGATGTTTATTACACGTAAATTTGGATGAAATTTCGTATATAATTAATTTTTAACCTATATTTATACATAGGGTAATTGATAGGGATTTGATCAAGGCCTGTTGTAATAAATACGTTTATGTGTTTATTGATTTTCACTTTACGTATCAAAATATTATTACTTATAATTAATATTATTAGTAATATTATTACTTAAATATATTATTCTTACTGGTGGTAGGACCTTTGTGAGTCCGCACAGGTAGGTACCACCACCCTGCCTATTTCTGCCGTGAAGCAGTAATGCGT